GGGGGGGGGGGGGGGGGGGGGGGGGGACACGCTGAGGTGAGAGATGAGGGGGTGGCCTAGTACAGTTCAGCTGCTGATGCCTTCTGGGTGACTCAGAGGCTGCGCCCTTGTCAGAGCTGCCACACCCAGCTCTCGCCTTTTCCTCCCAACCTCCCTCCAACCTGCTGGGGCCCTGGACCTGGGGGAAGAGGAACTGGGCTGAGCCTGTCCTGACCACATTCCTCCTGTAGCCGCGTCATGACCTACCGGGAACACACAGCCTGGGTGGTAAAGGCCTACCTGCAGAAGCACCCCGAGGGCCATATCGTGAGTGTGAGGTAAGGAGCAGAATGGCCAGGAAACATTTGCTGTGAAAACATTATTTTCCCTCCATTTAAATATGTCCTTGGTATTTAAACAGCTAGGGATTGCTGGCATTTCAGGATAGTAATGGACTCTGCTCTGTGGCTTGGCCAGAAAGGTCAGGGTGCACCTGGGAAGGTGGCACAGACCCCTGCCCACCAGAGAAATCCGAGCTGGGCTGAAAGAGGAGCTGGTGGGCAGGAGTGGCCTTCCTCCTGCAGGCTGCCTCGCCACCAGCCAGCATCTGCACATGAATTCAGCTCCGCCACGGTAAATACTGTGCTGAGAGCAGCGAATCTTCATTTGCCTGTTAAAGGGACAGCAGAGCATAATTCACTGTCTCAAAGCTACCATTTCCTCAGAGAAATGCTCTTTTCCCTAGTCTGTGGTATAAAACCAAACATGACTCTTGGGATAGTCACTGAAGCAGGAGGCCATAAGCCTTGGAGAGGCGACTGGCCTCTCCATGGGGCTGGGCAATGCCACCAGGCTCCCTCTGCCATTCTCTGTTCCTGACTTTGTCCATGGCCACCTCTCCATACCTGGTGTGGAGTCCTGCTTTGTGGTAGGCACAGCAGCTGCCCTCGGTCCTGGCCTTTTCTGACTTGGGGGGTGCGGGCAGCTTAGCGGGAACCCTGACTGCCAGGACTGGTGGGATAGTGGGATGGGAGTCTGGGCAGAGCCCAGGAGGCCCTCTGTGGGAGCACTGGGAGTCTGAGTGGCTTTGGCCTTGATCAGCAGGTACAAATGAGCATGAGGCTCACATGGCCAATGGACCATTCTCCAGAGCCAAGGGCCCTCCAGAGGGGCTTCAGGATCACAGCTAGCAGACATCACTGTGACCCTCTCTTGCAGTGTCAATGGGGATGTGCGTTTCTTCGATCCCCGGATGCCCGAGTCTGTGAATGTAATGCAGATTGTGAAGGGACTGACGGCCCTGGACATCCACCCTCAGGCAAACCTGATTGCCTGGTAGGTACCCTGCCTCCTTCTACTTCTGAGCAGAGGACCCTCTCAGAGTGCTAGCACTTGGCTCTGTCTCCCACTGTGCCTTAGGAAGGACGGGTTAGAGGATGGAAGTGTGCTGCCACGAGATAAAAACAAACATCTTCCCTGCCATATCTCTGGGGACATGCCTGGTTCTTGCTAAGAGTAGAGATCAGTAGCCACTTCTGCCTCAGGATAACACACAGGTGGACCTCCTGGCCCATGGCCTCACCTGCTGCAGCCACCCATCCCCAGCCAGCCCTATCCCTTCAGTCATTTGCCCCTTGGTCCATCTTTCTTCCCACAGTACAAGGAAACAGAGCTAGTGTCCTGACCCTCTTTCCCTCCCCACCACAGTGGCTCCATGAACCAGTTCACCGCCATCTACAATGGAAACGGCGAGCTGATCAACAACATCAAGTACTACGACGGCTTCATGGGCCAGCGCGTTGGGGCCATCAGCTGCTTGGCTTTCCACCCACACTGGGTCTGTGTCTTCACTTCAGGGTTTCTGGGGATGGGGGTTGAGGGATATTTAATGTTCTAGTGGCAAAGAGCAGGTAGGGCCACTTGAGAGACCTGCTAGGCCTGGGGTCTCCAGAACCACTGCCCTCCCCTAACAGACAGCACAGAAGGGGAAGCAGTTAGCACCTTCTGGCCTACCGTCATCCTCAGTGAAACCTGGCTCAGGTTGCCCTGTCACCCCCTGCTGAGCAAGCAGATGTGTGTCCATCTATGGACTTAGCACCTGTCCATAATCACAGTCACTCATGGACGGGGGCTGTCATGTTGGTTAGGATTTTGCAGTGTTGCGCTCCATGAGAACCTGTGCGTAGCTCTGCTGAAGTGCACAGCATCAGATTCCAGAACTGTCCCAGTGTGGTGACCCTAAAGAAGCTGCGGGGAACTGTGGGTAGTATGCAAATCATCCGTAATGGAATTTGGATGATACATCATCCCTGCTAGAAACTGACAGTTAATGGCCCTCGTTTCTGTGCCTATGTGGAGTGGAGAGGTGGAACAGTAGTTAACAGCACCCAGACCAACGCTGGGCATGGGGCACGGGTAGCCTGCACCCCGACCCAGCCCCTGCCCCACTGCTCCAAGGCCCTGCTCATGCCCTGTCTGCTCTCTCCCCTCACAGCCTCACCTGGCCGTGGGAAGCAATGACTACTACATCTCCGTGTACTCGGTGGAGAAGCGCGTCAGATAGCAGCTCCCAGGGCTCCTGCCAGGCTGCGGCCACCCTCTGGTGTACATAGTGAACGGAACCGCCACTGCTCCGGGTGCAGCGCACGCCCACCCACTCACCCTCAAACCTTGGCTCCTGATTTGGCTGTGGCCGACAAAGGAGGAGGCTTGTGCTTTCTTTCTTTCTGTCTTCACTGTAATGTCTACACAGGGGAGGGCTTTGATTGGATGCTGCTTCCCATCGAGAAACCAGCACCCAGGCAGCAGTGCACCTTGGTCCCCTCCTGTCCTGTTTTCTTCTGAGATTCTACAAGGGACATTTTTTTCCCCATGTGATCAGAACATTAGCTACAGAGTAGACAGAGCCCTGTAGAAAAGGTACACTGGGCTCCTGTGCACCCTCACCCAGCCCCTCTCCCGGCAGTATGGGTGGGAGCCCTGAGTAGACTGGACAGCGAGGGCAAGCACGGGAGAAAAGGCAGGGCCTCCTTGCTGCCCAAGGTGTGGAAGCCTGAGCATGGCCCTCCTGGAGCCCTGGGACAGCCCTGCCCAGCCACCTCCTTGTCACCAGGAGTGTTGTGGCAGTAATGAGAGAGGCTCCACCTCCTGCCCAGCCAGACTTCTGAGGTCCACTTTGGGCCCTTCACATGAGCTGATTGCAGGAGAGGGCTCTATGACTGGACAGGTCTGTAGAGTTGGCTCCTGCCCTGACTCAACCCACCAGGCTTGTCCTGAAGTGCGTCTTTCCCATAGGATAGTCACAGTGACCCCAGCCCACATCTCCCTGCCTGTGCCACACAGGCACACATGCACGCAGGCACGTGGCCTCCCCAGCCATGCTACGCATACATGGGTGTACATGCATGCAGGCACACACTGTCCCTCGTGCACATGTATACTCACATGTACAGGCACTATGGTCTGCCGCAGGTGCACTCACATGCAGGTGCCACAGTCTCCCAGCCTGTGCCTCACTCTCACATACACAGGCGCAGAGGCTCCCCTGGACCCAGAGACCTGTGGGTAGCAGCAGCCCCATTGCTGGTGTGACTAAGTACACCAGTCTGTAACATGGAGGGGCTTCTCAGTGGTGTTCTAGTGTGCCTGGCATGTGTACATGTGCACATGCAAGTGAGGAGGCTGTGTGGACATTTTAGTCCTGGGAAGGAGGGCAGCATTGCTGATCAGTTGCACAAACAGAGCACAATGCAGTAATGTTTCCAAAAGCATTTTCCCTTTTCCCTGGGAATCAGGATCTTCCAGAGGAAGATGAGGTGGCTTAATGAGCACTGCCAACAGGACAGCAGCACTGGGGTTGAAGAGTCAAGGCAGTCTGGGGCCCTGTGCCATGCTCAAGCGACCTGTGCCGTGGTCAAGCAACCTGTTTTGGACAAAAGAGTCTTCCAAGTAGACAGATTTCTGCAGGCAGCACTGGGCTGACCACAGAGCCAGACGGGGCTAGACAAGCTGGACAGAGGAAAGAGACCCTTGAGTCACCCCGGGAAATATATTCTCCCACCAGGAAGGGGGCTCAGGAGGAAGTCCCATTGCCTCGGCTGGGCCAGTCAGCAGCCTAGAGTCAGGAAGGCCCTAGAACATTCTGACTCCCCCAGGAGACCAGCTGCTCAGTTCTACAGAGTAGTGGATGACACACTGGAACCTTCCAGAAGCTGAGCTATAGAGTGGTTCAGCTCAGTTCCTGCCTGTTTCTGTTTGGCAACACACAGAGCCTCCTGAGAGGTGGGACTGTCTCCCTGCCCTGGCGGAGCCACCGTGCCTGCATCTTGCACACGGGCTGGACCTTCACAAGTCTGTTGCGAAAATTCAATCATGAAGCTAACCAAGGCTCAAGCGAGCACTGACCTAGAATTCATTATCTCTTATTTATTTTACCAAAATGAGAGTTGAAAAGGACTGACAGAACATGGACTGCGATGTGACACTACAAGCAGTGACAAACAGCAAAGTGTTAATAAAGAGTAAACCAAGAGAAGGCAGGCAGTGCTGTCCGGAAAGAACCGCGTGTCCCCACTAGCTCAGGCTGCCCCTGAGGTCCATCTGGAGTGGTGGCAGGGACAGGGCCTGCCACACTGGGGAGAGCCATGCCCCACAGAGCCGTGTGCCCCACCGGGCCGAGCCCCACAGAGCCCTGTGCCCCACCAGGCCGAGCCCCACAGAGCCGTGTGCCCCACCAGGCCGAGCCCCACAGAGCCCTGTGCCCCACCAGGCCGAGCCCCACAGAGCTGTGTGCCCCACTGGGCTGTACAGTTGTGAATTCTATCTTCCCCAGAGGGCTGGGGGTCACTGTGTCCTGGGGAACGTTGGGCCAGGACCATGGAAGGTGAGAACAGGCTGTAAGTTAATGCCTAAGGACAAGAGCCACTGTATCTAGCCCTTGGAGCCCTGGCTGGAAAGGAGGTAGTGGTTGCCATGGAAACTTGAAGGCAGTGACTAGAATGTCTGTGCTAACTCAGGGCTTGTCTTTAACAAGAAGAATACCCCACATTTACACACAGCAGCCAGGCCAGCTTCACCTAAGCGTCTGTTTTTCTGTTCACATCTTTTTCCCTCAGCAAGACCAAGTTCTCCTTCAAATGTGGGTAGATGTGCAGCCAGTCCTGGGGAGGAAAGGGGCCCAGCCGTGTGGCCCTGTGAGGAGGCCAGGCTGCAGGCCACCTGTGGACCAGTGCACCTCCATGCCAAACACTTAGCCCCTGGAGTGAGGGGTTGGGGAAGGGGAGGTAACCTGCCCATGAGAAAAAGCCACGGGCTGCCTCTACCAGTCCCTGCTTGCCATTGCTCTGCCAGTGGGGCCTTGGCCACCTGCTGTACATCCTAGGAGTCAGCGGACCCCCTTGGAGGACCAGAGGGGTTGGCCTCTTAGGTCATGCTGATTTGATAACTGATCTGGTCAGGATCCCACACATCCCCAGAAGTAGGGTGGTGCCTCAGTCTCAGGCAGGGGATGAGGAGCTCTCAGAAGGCCATGGGCAAGTGAAGGAGAAAAGGGGGCCCTCAACACCTCAGAGTTTATACACAGGTCATTGAGGCCAAATTAGGTCATGGGTGGCACTGATCCAGCCCTACTGCCTCTGTACAGGACACAGACCCTCTGAGGAATGGCAGCATGGAGCCAGAGACTGTCCAGGAACCAATGAGATGGCTAGGAAGCAGCCTGGCCACACCCGAGTCTCAAATTTCAACACCCCCGCCCCCGGCCCCCCAAGACTGCTTGTCCAATGACAGGTGCTCCATGCTGGTCCTGGTCAGGTGGTGTTGGTGACAGTGGCCCGGGATACACCTCCCTCAGCCCTGCCACCCTCCCATGTCTGCCCATCTTAAAAGCAGGGGGCAGTAACTGCAGGTATCTTAAGTTCTGTGAGCTGTAGACAAAAAATTCCAAATGGCACAGCACCAGGGAAGTGTTTGTGGACCAGGTGTGGTCACCGAGGGTCTAACGCGCTACGGCAGAGCCTTTGGCATGGCATCCTGTGGCCAACCAGCCACCAGCTAAGTCCACTAGAGGGGAGCAGCTACAAGCTGGGCTCCTTGGCCAGGAGAAAGGAGCCTCAGCCTCCACCGCTGACCTGCTGTCCTTCCTCCTCGGTGACGAACGCAACTGCTCTGCTGCCCTGCTCCCTCCGCCTGTTGTCTAGGTGCTGCCCAGCCCTCCGCCTCAGCTGCTGTTGGGTCCAGCTCAGTGGCCACATGTGACCTGGACCACCAGCTGGGAGGATGGTAGGGCATTAGAGGAGCACCCTGCATGCTGTGATGTTGCTGCAACAGTGGTGAGGTGGGCCGGAGCTGTGGGGTTGCCTTCATTCGTCCCCAGCTTCCAGCATCGCAGTGGCCATAGGAGCGTCATGGACTCTCTAGCCGCTCTGGGAAGGAAATCTCCCTGGGTTCAGTGACGTGTTTACATCAGTCACCATGTCTTAGTATGACACCAGGAAACCACACACGCTTCACACCCCTCTCCTATCCACAGCCCCTTTCTATTGTCCATACCACTCCTGAGCCCCAAAGCTGTGCCCACCCCCTGGCCCAGGTCATCCAAGGGTAGCAGATCTGGTGTCCACCCCAGCCTGTGCCTTCCCCTGCTCAAAAGGCAGGGTAGCAGCAGCCTCCAAACAACCTGGGGCCCCACTGGCGTTCCAGAGACCCCACTTAGAGAAGCCACCGTGACAGCCTGTCATCACTGTCATGCCACATATGCCTCCTTGGCCCAAGAGCTTGGCATAACCTGGGACTTAGCAGCACTGGGACGGGGCAAGTGCAGTTCAGACACAGCTACACCCTGACAAGCCCATGAGACTGACACATCTGCAGGGAGGGCACACGGCATCCCATAGCTTTGCAGGCCCTCCCTGGAGGTGCTGAGAGGTGGGTCTGAGATGGAGGGTGGGGAAGGCTTTGCCTAATGTCAGCTTAGGAGGTTCAGGGTGGCTGGCTCAGCCTCCTAGGGGGCCCAGAGGACCACCGTGGTCTCCTGCCTTACTGCAGCAATCAGGGTTTGCCCCACAGTTAGCCCTTCTACCCGGGCTGTGCTCTACCCTTTTGCAACTGGTGAGTATGACAGGTACCCCCAGTTGCAGTTGGAACCTCATCCATCCTTCCTGAGGCAGCCGCTCAGGCTCAAGAAGTGGCTACATGAGGCCACCCGGGACCATCACTGTGAGGATGAGACAGAGACCCGAACAAGAATCCAGGTGAAGGGCTGGAGGGTTGACCCAGCAGTTAAGAGCACTGGCTGCTGTTGCAGAGGACTTAAGTTCAGTTCCCAGTACCCCCAAGGTAGCTAACAACCATCCATAATTGCAGTTCCAGGGGATCTTACGCCCTCTTCTGGCCTCCGTGGGCATTGCATGATACAGGTTCACATACACATGTAAGCAAGACACTCATAAAGTAAATCCAAGGGCTGGAGAGATGGCTCAGTGGTTAAGAGGAACTGAGTTTGGTTCCCAGCACCTCCATGGCACATGGAAGCTGAAAACAGTCTGTAACTCTAGTTCCAGGGGATCCTACGTCCTCCTCAGATCTCCAAGGGCACCAGGCACACACATGGTGCACTTACATACATGCAGGCAAAACACTCATAAAAAAATAAATTTTAGAAAGCAAATGAGGCCAACCTAGCCACTGCCCTTGAAAGTCCACTATGGTGTAGGAGCAGGCCACCACCTGTATATAAAGCAGGCCAAGACCATGTGGGCCCAGGTTCCAGTCCAGCAGCCCCAGCCTTGAAGACAGTCTCCAGGAGTGCTTACCCACACACTGTAAGAGCACAGGTGGCAACGTGGGCTGGACAAAGGACCGGGAGGCCCAGTGCTTGTCACATCACATGCTGTGGCATGAATTGCCAGGAGACAAGGGGTCTGTGGAACAGGCCAGCCCCTCCCTCAACTTTGGGCTCTGAGCGGGGCTTCCCGCTGGCTCAAAGACCCCAATGAGGCGCTTCTGTGAAGTCCAGCCATCTGCAGGATCCACCCTGTGGCCTGTCGAGGGAAACTCAGGCCGGGCGTGGTGGTGCACACCTTTAATCCCAGCACTCAGGAGACAGAGGCAAGCAGATCTCTGTGAGGTCAAGGCCAGCCTGGTCTACATAGTTCCAGGACAGCTGGGGCTACAGGGAGACCCTGTCTCAAAAAGACCAAAAAAAGGGAAACTCATGACTCTCACCCCCAGGCTCTACAGAGAAAGCAACAGGTCAGTAGCTGGAGCCCACGGGGAGCGTTATTTTACTTGTGCTTTGCTATTTAAAAAAACTAGACAGAGGAAAATAGGACACAAACAACCAACTTGAAAAGGAAATTAAGCCAATTCCATTTATAGTAGTATATGCAAAAGAATAAAATTCCTAGGGATACACGTAACTTGTCCAGCGGAAACTATAAAATATGAAAATCTGAGGACTTGAGTAAATGGAACGATTGCCCATGTTGATGGATCAGAAGATCTAGTATTGGCCTGGGGGGTGGCTCAGTGGGTAAGAGTACTTGCATGAAGCCTGGAGTTTGGATCCTCAGTACCCACCTTTTTTAAAAGCTGGGTGTGGCCACACCTATAATCCCAGCTCTGTGGGGAAGGCAGAGGCAGGAGAGCCTCTGGAAATTGCTGGCTTCTAGCCTCACTGTAAAATGGTGAGCTCTGGGGGGCTGGAGAGATGGCTTAACGGTTAAGAGCACTGGCTGCTCTTGCAGAAGACTCCAGCACCCTCATGACAGCTAACAACAGTCCATAACTCCAGTTCCAGGGGATTTGATGCCCTCTTCTGGCCTCTGCTGGCACTGCATGACACGGGTGCACATACATGCAGGCATAACATTCATGAAAAACAATTTTTTCAATGGTGAGCTCTGGGTTCAGTAAGAGACCCTGACTCAAGGGGATGAGGTGGAGCGCAATGGAGAACACCCAGCATCCTCCTCTGGCCTTTCCTTGGAACATGCAGTGCCCTGCATAGGGCTCCACTGTTCTAACACAGTCATCAGGAAAACTAGTAGAGAGGCCAGGGAGGTGGCTCAGTGAAGTGTTTGTTGTATAAGCACAAGGACCTGACTGGACCTAGTTGGACGTTCCTGTGAAGAGGTGGGAAGCAGCAAAGGAGAGTTCCAGGAAGCCTGTAGGCCAGCTTGCCTGGTACTCAGGCAAGCACAACAGACCCTCAAGCTGGAAGGTAAGAGCCAACACCAGAGGTGGTCCTCTGACCTTCACATGCATGCTGTGGCACACACACGCACACACGAATGTGTGCATATATATGCATATATATATACATCATACACAAACATACACAAATGATTTTTTTATTGCAATAGAGCCAGGTGTGGTGGCACACACCTTAATTCCAGCACTCAGGAGGCAGAGGCAGGCAGATCTCTGCAAGTTCAAGGCCAGCCCTACTACAGGGAGACTGTGTCTCAAAAAGACAAAAAAATTGCAATAGAACTGGGCATGGTGGCATATGTTTTTAATCCCAGCAGGGATTAA